ACAACCTAATGAGAGAAAGAATTCTAGAAATCTTGATCCACTGACAATGATATCACCTTATGCAAATATACAGATCATTTGGTGTTGCACAGTAAATTAGTTCCAGCAGGTAATTGCATTTATGCAGCAAATGTTTATTACACAGAAAGTATATAAATGACCTCAATAAGCGTCCATTATTTCCGATATTAGGGTGGTGCACAAAGCTATGATAAAAGACTTACTTGGCAATACCATTAAACTATATGCAATATGTGCATGCTAACAAAACTAGTTAATCCATATCGTCGAAGTATCTTGAAGCTAATCAGATTCTTTCGTAATTGTTCTTTTAACACATATGTTTTGCAAAATTATGTTGCCGTTTTCCGACTTTTATGTTACTTAGCATTAAATCAAATTTATTCATTCTTAAAACTTGAATTAATGCTGATTACAAATTATCGCACAGCGTCCAAGTTCATCCATAGTACATCATTATTTGTACTGGGATTCCCTTTTTCATGAAAGTTAGAAAAGTTTTAAAAATCAATTCAATTACATCTTGATTAGCTGAAAATTTTGAACGAAACATAGAGAGAGTGAGAGAAAACTACAAAGGGACACTGTTCGATCTTATCATACAAAGAGAACAATTTGCATAATGTTTCTGAGGACAAAAAAAAATCTATTTAAGGACTAAAATCTTGTAAATTTGAGTATTAATCGTTGCAGTAATTCAGTGAGCCAGGCATTTTTGGTTTGGTTTCTATCTCGTGCGAATAGAATTAATGATCTTTGGGTTTTTCCCAGCTCGTTTTCAGGCAGTCCTCTGTCTCAATGCTTTATTGGAGTGGATGCTGTATTTGTGACAGTTAATATTTTTGAATGAGCAGTTAATTGTCTTATACATGATATGTCAACAACAGTTTTGAGACAAATAGCATAAAGCAGTAAAAAAATAATTTACAGGTGGATATGAAATATAACAACGCCTTGCAAGAAGGGAGCGAGGAGTTAGATACCGACAGGACTCATTTCAACTCGTTAAATTTAGGTTCACAATGTTTCTTGACTTCTTGTAAAGATCAGTTTATCATAAGAAAGAATGGATGAGATTAACAATGATTTTCCACTCTTTGCAACAGTACTGTGATTCAATATATTAAATTTTAAAATAGTTCATAGGGCTTGCAGTCAAATATGTTACATTTGTGTTGTTAGCAGGCAATATACATATAAGGCTACGCTTCATTAGATAATACATAAGAAATGTTCACAAATGAGGAACATAACAACTCATCGGCATAAGTGAATAGCATGGATTATGATGTCGAATGCATCTAACAATCTGAGAAAACTTGCAATATTTCCATCAATCCAAAGCGGGTATTTTGACAGGATCACTTAACTTGTTGTATTATTAGCCAAAATGGTTTGGTGGATGGCAGGATAGGCTCATTCTGGAACCATTTTTCATATTCAGAAATTAGTACTTTGAATGGTCGCTATGATTGTCAAGAAATTGGCTTTTGTCTGATTTGAGTAAAATTCCAATTAAATTGATAGCGAAGCTGAAAAGAAGATGAAAACAATAACATGGAAACAAGTGACTAATGGTTTGAAAGGCAAAATTTATAAATGAAAATTATTTGGAAAAGTTGGATGCTCCTTCTCAAGTATCGGTAGATCAAAGACAAATAATTGCAAGTAATCTTTGCAGAATCAAATTAAATAAAATAGTAGATTAGTTTTGGAATCCCTCAATTATATTTCGATAAATGATGTTAAATCATTTAGGCTGAACTGAAGGATGTTGTTTATCATAAATCGACGATGCTGATCGAATGCCAAAATCTTGCTGAACATGGCATTGAGTTAACTAACAAGAAAAATAGACTTCAAAAGAAATTGCACAGACTGACTAGATAGCGGGTCATATAAGTTTAATTATTCAGAGCATTTATGATTTCAACGATAATGATAAGGTTCAGAAGTATGTTCTCTGCATAAACTACTATATTTTTTGTAGTGCTTGTTATTGCACTTTCTTCTCAGAAATAGTTTTCAGCATTTCCGGTATTTACAGCAACTTGGACAACATTAAAAAGCATGAACTTGAGCGAAAGATCAATCCTTTGACAGAGAAAATCAAGCGTTGCGGTGAAAGGAAATAAATTGTAAACAAAATGTCAGAAAGATTATCTTGAA